TCCAAAAGCTAATACTGGAACAATGGGGTTTTGCCTTTTTTTGTAGTATGCTTCATGTTTTGAAAGTGAGTCAAAACTGACTTTTTTCCTCTAATGATCAAAATACAAATATTTACAATAAAAATTCTCAAAATATTAAAAATATTCATGTAAGTAGCATGTGGCTGAGACTACAGGTATGACTTGTGCCTTCTGGAAAGTTGGTGGTGAAATATGAGGTTGAGTATTTGGCTCATAGGAATCATCAAATGAACTGCATTCCTTCAACATTAAGGAGGATAAATTCCTTCTTTATCAGAAAGGATACAGGTTCCTTCTAATATTAAACCATGAAGTACTTACAAGACAAGTCTAATACCAAAAGATTCTCAAGTCCCTTTTTCAATACTCGTACTGGAGCTGTCATTCTGCGAAGGCCTGCATCTGATAAACAGTTGTCTTTCAGGAGAAGACGTTTTACGCTGGGAGAAGAGAGACAAAAGCGTAATTTATAGTCATTATTTTAGACAGTTTTACAAAATGTCCTAAAACTCTGTGTCAAAAGGCTGGGACTTTGCTAACATTAGTAAAAATTAGCAAGAAAGAGGCCTGGGATAGTAAGGACTAACAAATATCTTTATGTTGCCTCCGCTGGCTCAACAGAAGCACTTATTTGACCTGCTATTCCCAGAGCTCCAGCAACAAACCAGTCCTAGACCACAAGTATTTGCTAACAAAGACAATAAGGTTCTTTATACCCTGAGGTTTTTTAAGCCAAAGCTGCCAATCTTGAATCCACTCACAACTAGAAAGAGCAAAATGCTTGGCAAAATGGGAGAGGACAGACTTAGTAAGAGATACAGCAATGATTTTAAGTAAGCAATGGGGTATTATAACATAGATGAACAAAACTCAGGGAAAAACACAACATGAAAACATTCTCCAGAGCACTTCAAGAAAAACCCTGATGCAAAATGCACCAAGATCTTACAGTAACATAATACCCCCTACTTAGCAGGCATCCTGCCTATTGATTTCCAAAGTTTTCTACTTTCCAATCTTTAGGATCAAACAAAATAATAACATTTTTTACAAAATTTTAATTAACTAGATATTCAACCTACTGCTTGCAGAAATCTTCCTCTGGAACACTGGTATGGTTAGAAAAGGAAATAAAAGTAAAACTGTTCCAAATGCTTAAGATGCAGTATTTACCTGGTGGAAATTATAAAAAGTGGATTTAAGAACATGGGACAGTAGATTATCTTGCACCTTTGTATGACCTTTTATGATTCAGTATGTGCTTTGGATCATGTGCTTTCTGTGCAATAAATTCTGTATTTTGTTTACCTCGAGAACAGGTTTTATGAACAGCCACAATCTTCAAACTTACACATTGCTGCCTGTGAAACTTCCCTTTAAAGTTACAGCCTGATTCTTTGAACTGCCTAGTGATAGGAAAAGAAAGTGTCATTTTTAGCTATGTGTCAGGAAATTGGTACCTAGACAGAGCCTCTTTGGTGAGGTGTTCCAGCAGTTCATGTTCATCTCCGAGTTTACAGCAGGAGAGATCCAAACACGTCAGCTCCCGGAAAGACTTAATTTCTTCTAGCTTTTCAGAGATAACCAGGTATCTGCAAAAAGGGAAAAAAAAAAAAGCTAGCAGTGTTCAGGCACATAAGGCACCTACATCCTCAAGTGTCACAAACATAATGAAGTTGTTCATTGTTGCAAATTGACAGAAATTAGCCAGCTGTCCTAACTACCTTTTTATGTGCAGTCTGCACACAACACATCTGAATTCCCAGTCTTCTTGAACAAATGTCATCGTTTTGCTTTGATTCAAAATATCGGACTAACAATTAAGACTCTGACTTGCAAACATCACAATTAGGGACTTCTTTACCAATTATTATTTCAGAATGACGCAAAATACATATTCCAGTTTACTGTAAATCAGCTTCACAAACTGCTTTTCCTCAGTATCTAGGAAGTGTGTAGACAAATCCACATTAATCCACGTTTAAAATCTACTTCAAATGTATCAGGACTGCTTGTCAAATGGCAAAATTTACTTTTTATATATGTAAATAAAATACTTCACTAGAGATTAAAAGTACTGCCGGACACCTGCAGACTCCAACTAGAGCTGTGACTACACCCCAGGCAGCGGGTTATTTTTTTAGCTGTGTTGGTTCCCCAATCTGATTCACTCTGCAGCCATGCAAACATCTGTGCTGGAACTATTCAGTAGGAGGTTTAGAGATCGGAACAAACCACTAAAGAATGGCATGCATGAGTATGCAGTAATAAGCACGTAGCAGTCACTACCTCACCAATCTCCCCTGCTCTTACCTCTTACTGTCCCAGTGGCAAGACAAGCCCCAAATTTACTAATCTCTCCTGAATTCACCTCGTATTACCCATGGCAAGACAAACCCCAAGGTCAGCAACTTCACTGATGAAATGAGGGGTGCTTACTAATTTGACCCCTCAAAGAACACCTCTTTGACTATGCAAATAAAGGGACCTTATTATCCTCCCACTGCAAGTGTACCTTTCAAACTACCCCCCAAATCCTTTTGCTGTGCAATTCAGCTATGTGGAAGGCAGAAAGTACAGCCACAGCCCAAGCCAAATCTTAAGAGATACTACTAGCTCAGGGGGGTTGTGAAGAGTGGGCTCTTTTAGAAATAAAACTCCTCGGAAAAACCCTTCACACCTTACACTTCCTGGATTTCAGACTCAGTACTTAAGTCAGCTTTCTGTAATGGCAAAAGATGCCAAAAGTAACTTCATTTCTGAATCAGGCCCATAAAAAGTATCAGTACCAGAGATAAAGAGGGAGTAGGTTTAAAGAATAAAACAAAAGGGTAATTGACCTCTGCTCAAACATTCCTACTGTGCTCAGAACACCCCTGGCAGTTCAGCTGAATGTGCCTGTATTTTGATTTTAAACTGGATAAACCATCCCTTTTTCAAGTGTTCAGATGGAAGATAGACTGGTTGTATTACTGGGAAAGGCTTCAGCAGAAGCAGGGCTTTAAAAACACAGTCCAGTTTTAAGCTGGATAAGACTCTTTTAGTGAAAGACAATGTGGACATTGAGAAGATGGAGAAACTGGTGCTGGACTCTAATCAGAACCTTGTTAAAACATGTTTAATATGGGGATGGGAACCACAATAAATGAAGGTAAAACCTTACTGACTTCAAAGCCTGTAACTTACCTACAAGACTGTATTTTCTCCTGGGCCCCCAAAATGAAATGGGAGAGCAAGCTTACAGTAAATAAACCCAGGCAGTTTCCAAGGGTGTATTTTATCTGTACACTCAGCTAAGTATGTTGAAATGCTTATAAACAGCAATTACAAAAACATCCCATGCAACACCTGAGAAGGCATTAAACACACAGATTGCTATGAAAGTGCTGGTTATTGTTAAATAGTTGCAGGTTTAATCCTTCACATAAAATCCCCTGTGAGTTAACACAGATGTAGTCTGTTACCTGTATTATGATTTGTAGCTTAGAATGAAACCAGCAGCTGCACTTGTAGGACAGGAATGGGACAAAAGGAAGCAAGCAGACAGTCAAATAAGGCTTAGGTCACTTCATTAAAATTAGGTGGTGTCATAAGCCCAAGAGGGTTTTTTTTTTTTTAATTACTTTTTGGAGAAAATAAGGTAAACTTTAAGTGTGCTAGCAAAAAGCACTAGCAGATGACGATATTTGTTACTGAACACACTTACCGATTCCGCAAGCATAGCGAACATAGCACCAAACTGCCATATGCTTCAGTAAACTTCTGTAGAGCTCTCAGTCCCGTTACTGGTTCTGTGAACTTCTGTCTTGCTTCTGCAGCTGAAAAGAGCTTTTCAGCAATCTGCTCTGGGAAACCAATCAACGAGTCAATGTGGTCAACATTGTCAGAAATGTAACCCAGCACTAGGCTGAAGAGAGACTTGGCCGAGTACCGGAGGTTCCCCTCCTTAGTGTACGTGAAGATGAAGTGATCAGTCCTCTGCCTCCTTGCCCTATCGTCCTCCCTGTTCATGCAAAGCTCCACGGAAAATCCTCTGGAAAACAGCCTAAAAGGTCTCGTTTTGGGAGTGACATTCTGTACGCCACCTGCACCCTGATTTACCACGTGCAGCTTCCCATTTTCACGCACATATATTGGCCCAGTATCCAAATGGCTTTCTGAGTGGAGACAGTAAGACATTCCCCTCGTCCAGTTCTGCAAAAACAAACCGCAGACAAATGAAGAACAGCCACAGGGGAAAACGCAACTGAGGAAAGACCCCATCCTCCTCAACGCCCCGAGCACCCACGGCCACGTAACCCCGCCAGGCCGTGTGGGAGAGGGGTGCGCGGTGTCTGCCACCAAACCGCAAACACCAGTCAAATGGGAACTGAACCCAGGGCTGGCAGCGAGGTGGAAGAGCCTTTGCTCCGGCCAGGCCCTGCCACGCTGTGCCTGCTGCTCGCCAGCGGCCTGGGGCTGGATGCCGGTCCCGCCCGGAGGGGTCTGGGCCGTGTGGGGAGCGGCCCCCACACCTGGGCTGGCTCTGGTGCCGGCCAGCGGGGGCAGCAGGAGGGCAAATGGCTGCCTGCAGCAGGGCAGGGGAGCCCGCTGGAGGATCTCCCTCCTGGGGAGGGGGGGCAGGCTCCCGGCGCCCCGTCCCCAGCCCAGCCGGTGCCGGGGGGCGCTGGTTTGTGAGC